TTTTATGTGTCTGTGCGTATTGCCTGTATGTAGGTAAGTGCACCCATGTTGTGCAATGCCCGTAGAGGATGGAAGGGCTGGTAAATCCCCTGGAACTGGAGTTACGGACAGTTGTTAGCTGCCATGTGGGTGCTGGGATTCGAACCTGGATCTTCTTCAAGAACAGCCACTGTTCTTAACTGCTGAGCCATCTCTCCAGCTCCGAGAAATATAAAATTTATCATTTTAAAAATTTTATGTGTTATAAGCCGGGCATGGTGGCGCACGCCTGTAGTCTGAGCACTTGGGAGGCAGAGGCCAGTGGATCTCTGAGTTCAAGGCCAGCCTGGTCTGCATAGTGAGTTCCAGGACAGCTGGTGCTACAGGGAGACCCTGCGTCAAAAAGACAAAAAAAAAAAATTTTTTTTATGTGTTATGAGTGTATTGCTGGCATGTCTGTAAGTGTATCTGTTTGTGCAATGCCTGAAGAGGGAGCCAGATCCCCTGGAACTGGAGTTAAGGACGGTTATTAGCTGCCATGTAGGCACTAGGAATCGAACCTAGGTTCTCTGTAAGAACAGTCAATGCTCTTATTCACTGAGCTATCTCTGCATCCCCCTATTATTTCTTTATAAAAATATTTAGTTTTGCCAGGCATGGTGGCCACACCTTTAATCCCAGCACTTGGGAGGCAGAGGCAGGTGGATCTTTGTGAGTTTGAGGCCAGCCTGGTCTACATAGTGAGTTCCAGGACAGCTGGGGGCTACAGGGAGACCCTGTCTCAAAAAGACAAAAAAAAAATTAGTTTTAGTATTAATTGTGTGTGTGTGTGTGTGTGTGTGTGTATGTGTGTGTGCAAGTTAGGGAAGTGCTCTGCCACAGAGCTAGATACCCAACTCTCTTTTTACTTTTTATTTTGTGATAGGGTCTTGCTAAGTGGACCGGGCTGGCCTATAACTTAACTCTGTAGCCCAGGCAGTCCTTGAACTTGTGATCCTCCTACCTCATGCTTCCAAGTAGCTGACTTTATGGTGGCAGTGTTTTGTTTTGTTTTGTTTTGTTTTGTTTTGTTTTGTTTAGACAAGGTCCCAGGCTGGTCTGAAACTTGCTAGAGGGTAGTCTTGAGCTCCTGTTCTCCCTGCCTCTACCTTCTAAGGGCCGAGAGTACTTGGATGCAGGGGCAATTCTAAGGGCAGCTGAGGTCCTACAGTTCTTTGACACTGTCTACATTAGATCTGCTAGCAGCTCAGAGACACTGTCAAGGAAGAAGCTGAACAGTTCACAGATTTGCCGCCTGTAATCTCCCATGGCCTGCAACAACTAACCAAGGTCATTAGAACTTCCCAAATCGGGAAAGGTGGCCTATGCCTGTTATCCCTGCACTTGGCTGAGGCAGGAAAATCACCACGAGTTTGAAGCCAGCTAGAGCCGCATAATGAAACTCGTAAGAAACAAAAAACACCAGAGGTGGTGGATGGCTAAAAGGAAAGAGTTTTCTAGACAGCTGGCCAGTTACTCACAGCTATGGTGACAGCACGCAGAAGTCTCTTGCAAGCCCAAACCAGACAGAATCCCAGCACAGACGTGAGCTGCTCCAACGCAACCTAAGGAAATTGTGGCAACAGATGGCTGCTGGGAGGGGCAGAGACAATCTCTCTCTCTCTCTCTCTCTCTCTCTCTCTCTCTGTCTCTGTCTCTGTCTCATGCACACACACAGGAGATATTGTCTGGGATAAAAGCTGCAAATTATGATGTGATTTATGAAGATAATTCACAACCATGAGACAGTC